TGGCAAGGGAGTTCTCGAAATCGCTGTAACCATCAGTCAACGCTTTGTAACAGGTACGTTCATTACGGAACGGGGAGGAGGACTTTGTTTTTCGTCGTCGTCGGGGGCCTGACATCTAGGGCAGGCTGGAAACGGAAGCGGTAATAGACAGAAGCCGCAAACACAACGATGAATGGATGCTATTGAGACGTTGAGCATGTTGAGGTCAGTGTGCTGCTGTTAGAGGCAAGCCTCTGGCAGCTGTGCACTAGTTGCCTCCTGTTGACTCCTTATCAGGTGACTCGGGGAGAGAGCTTAGATGAGAGCTCTTGAATGTGTAATAAGCGGTAGGTTGCTAATGTTGGCGGCATGCCTCGATACTCAAGCATTTAGAGAACTCCTCATCGAGAAGCCAACAACCATCCCAATAGAATTAGCAAATCAAGACACTGGAAGGTCACCGAAACTAAGCTCTTGCATGTGTATGGTTACGCCATCATCATCCATTTATCGACCGTGACGCATCCATTTTCTGTATTTGCGAACGATCGAAATGACTGAGCGGAAAAGGGAGAGACAAGATGTAGTAGGAAGGAAGTTGAAACTCACGTGGGCCCGATCCATGAGCAGCTCGTGTTGGCCACCTGGACCCGGGGGATCGGTGCTTACACCACACCTCGAGAGGGCTTGGCTGTGTGACTGACACAGTAACTGAGACAACGTATTACAACGTATGTCTACGCCTATAGCGACCTCGAGCGGAGGGTCGTTCGAAAAGGCATTTTGTCTAACTTTTTCAAGTTCAGCAGACAAATTCCGAATGATGAGATGTATGCGATGTAAGTTCACAGCGACACTACGAAGCCAAATGCCGCTGTAAGAAAAAACCATTTCAGAGAGTCTCCGGTCACATTCGGTTATTCAACCTACCACGGGATGTGAGGCTTGGACGTGAATTCAAGCATGGGCGAGTCAATCTGCTGACGGCGGTCAATCGCATGGTGCAACCACTAAGAAGCAAAAATGTGTGGTGAAATCGTCACGCGCCACAGAAATGCCATTCGCGCGCGCCCTGACCCTCGACAGCGTTGTCGTGTTGGTTCACAGTGTGATGTCGGCCTAGCTTCTTCGGATGTGAAGTGCTTGTTAGCTTCGGATCGATCGATCTTGTCTCGAGTGAGATCTGACCCTCTGGGTTCCTCGTCATTGCTGTGAGCATTGATATTTCGCGTCGAATGCATTCGGTGAATTACTGCGGTTGGTGGTCACGAGTTTCAGTCTGTTGGGTTGTGGAGTTTCATGTTGAGGGGCATTCTAGTAGTAGGATACTCCTATTCTTTATAGAAGCGTTGTTTGTGTTATAAAACAGTTATGCCCGGCGACGATGGTTCCTCTCTTACAGAACCCCAGGTGGTCGAAGCCGTTCCTACGAAGGATGATGCCCCTCCTGCCAAAGAGGAGTTGACCACATTACAAGTGTATACGAAAAACTTACCTCTTATCTGTAAACTAGGTGCTGGTTTCTTCGCTGATGCTTACGACATGTTCGTTATTGACATAGTCTTGGCTATTCTCAGCGAGATGCAAGAGGAAGATCCTACTGGACTAGGCATGGACGCCAGTACCAAAGGTCTGGTGGCCTCGGCGACTTCTATCGGTGCGGTTGCTGGTATGCTTTTCTTCGGAGTTGTTGGTGACCAAGTTGGTCGCAGGATTGGTATCTTATGTACTGGTGCGTTCGTGGCACTAGGTGCTGTTTGCTCAGCGTGTATTCAACGGTCTACGACGTTCTCTTTGGCGCATCAACTCTTTGTGTGTCGTCTCGTGTTGGGCTTCGGAATCGGCGGTGAGTATCCTCTATCTGCAGCTATGGCATCGGAGCGCTCCGATAACGCTACTCGCGGGCGCATCACAACTGGTGTTTTTTCGATGCAAGGACTTGGTATGATATTCGCTGCCGTTCTGCCTCTCATTTTACTCTACGCCGTTGCCCTATGGAGATCTGTTGGC